CGGCACGCAGGATGAGGGGCCGTCGGGGGGGGGGAGCGGACACACCCGTGTCCCCAGGAAGCCCAGCAGTGCAGGTAAAATGCCGTGGGAGCGGAGAGTCCTGAACAGACGCCTCCCTTAGGGCCTGACCATCTTACCTTCCCACGAGACAAATTATCTATTACCAGCACACGATGAGGCCGCCCCACCCAAATTCCACAGCGCCCACTCGCACACATCCCGCGAAATCAGAACAGTGTCCGCAGCCTCGACACGGTCTTCACGTCATGCAGAAATGGTCCATTCCATCCTCTATGGGGTAACCAGATTCTGCTGAGAGTGTCGGGATCCCTGACTGCCCATCCACACCTCGCGTGTGTTTGGAGTAGTGTGTAGTTTACGAAACAAACGGAGAAGCTCAAAGACAGCGGTCTGAGACATAATCACCAATTCGGTCCCAAAATTGAGAGAGGAGGAGGCGTAATGATCTTTCTGTCACCAAAAAATTTCAAAAATGTCAACGGCGCTCTTTTTAGCTTTTCCGTTTACTAACCAGGCAAGCAAAAAATTTTGTTTATTGAAAAATAAACAAAACCCAAGGGCTATTGGTGTGTTTTCTTTGATTTGTTGTGCGCCCGGCTCCGGCTGTCCCTGCCCACTGGTGGCCTTAGCCCCGAGCAAGAGGGGTCAGGGGCCCAGGCTTGGGAGGGCACCCCTCTGGCCCTATCCAGCCCTTCCCACGTGGCGAGGAGACCTACGGGCTGAGGGATGAGCCCATCCAGCCCCTTCCAGATACACTCTCTCCCGGTGCTTGGAGCGTGGGAATTTCCGGCCCTGTCGGCCCCACCCCGAGGGCCTGCGCGGGCCTCTCCCCTGCATCTGTTCCCGACGGTGGCTGTTTGTGGGTGGGGTGGCTGGGGCTGGAGCTCCAGGGAGAGGGGGTGAGGGGCCCAGGGTTCCATGCTTGAGCACGCTGGGGGGGTGGTGCAGGAGGAAGGCCAGCTCTCCCACTACTCACCAGGTCCTGGCCCAGAACCCTCGGGGGTTTGAGAATGCCACCCTGTTCTGGCCCTTCCAGAACTCAGTGAAGGTAGAATCGCCCAGGTGAGGGCAGAACGGATTTTGTTTGATACTGAGGGGCACTTGGAGCTTCCAAAAGTCGGCACATCAGTCTAGGAGCCCCGCGTATACTGCTGACTTGGGCCCCGCACGGGGACAGGGGGACTTGCCTCTCTTCCAGGCCTGGCCTCGGGCCACAGGTTTACTCCCTCAGCTCAGTACAGCCACCCCTTTGAGTCCCCATGTCGTGTCGGCAATGCACGTGCCTGACCACCCACCCGAGAGGGGCCGGCCGGACCCCTCCCCCTGGACACAGGAGCTGCGGTCCAGTCCTTGATCCCTGCTGGCCCAGGAGGTGGCCCTGGGGCAGGGTCCCCTCCCCACTTCCTTCCACTGCCTGCCCTTCCTCTCCAGGGCTGTCTTCGGCCAGGACACTGCCACTGCCCACCCAGCTGTCCAGCCAGGACCCGGGTGTCCCCGAGACACCTCCCCCCTCAGCTCTGTGGTACTCTGCTCTCAGCTGGTGTGTGTGTGTGGGGGGGGTGGGGGGTTCCCATTAAGGCCGGGGACACACGAGAGGGACAGACAGGGGGCACACCTCAGAGATGGGTGCAGTTCCGAAAACTGTAAGAAAACAAGAGAATGAGGTTGAGGTAACAGATGTAGAAACTTCCAAGAAAGGGATGAATTTTCCGGGAAAACATCGATTAACAAAATGTGATCGGGAACAGACCGATCACCTGGGAGAAGACCCCCCCCCCCAGGTGGGCCAGCTGTCAGTTACCTGACTTCGGGTCCCCAACATTTGACCCTTTGACTGAACAGGAGGTGCCCAGGCAGAGACACGGTTCTGGAGCCACGAAAAACAGAAGGGGAAGACTTCTCGATTCTTTTTCAAGGCCAGGAGAAACCTGCCAAAGGGAACGCAAGGAAAGGAAAGTCACTGTCCTCACTCCGAACAGAGAGACAAAAATCCTCAGTAAAATAACAAATCAAAACCAGGCAATGATGGAAGCTTCCTGGAGGACAGTGAGATGCGGGGCACAGCTGAACAGAGGATGGAGAGAGGCCGGGCCCCCAGCCCGGAGCAGCCGGCAGGGTGGCCCCAGGTAGGAGCTGGGTTCCACCGCAAGCCACGGGCGTGGGGACGACCGCTAAGCCCCTGCGTCTGATGTCAGGCCCTGTGGCTTTCTGGCCTTTAGCCGCTCTCTCCCACTGCTGAAGAAGAAAGCATTCGCCCACACCTCCCACCCAAGACCCTCAGGAGTTCACAGGAGGGAGGAGGTAAAGACCCAGCCACCCCA